GGTCTCGGTCTTGTCTTAGTCTCGACTCTATTTGGTCTCGGTCTTGTCTTGGTCTCGGTTTAGGCGGTCTTGACTACAACACTAATGATCAGTGAAGTGAAGTGAAGTGGGTAATCCCTTAAGCATCAGTCCTCTGTTTTCTTGGGGACGATCCTCCCATGGATTGGGATGTTATTAGTGAAAGCTAAAGCGTTGTATTTATGGACAGACGGCTCTCCTTAACTGTATTGCAATGACAAATTATATACTACGTACTGGTAATTACGAATCAACTCTATTGCATTCCGAATGACAGCACGCTTCTACGGAGGTGCACGCAGGTGCAAATTTTCTGCTCCATATCACAATATGCACCAGATAATTAATATTGTCATGCATTTCACTAAAGTCTGTGTCACGAGATGCGAGACGAAGGACTCGAAGGCAGGCGTTTGCCAACGAAATGGGGTTTATTGAAGTGAACGGGAGCAGGCTAACAAAAGAGAACACGAGGGGTCAAAACGAGGAGGCGAGTACGGCCACGGGCAGACAGGAAGGGGCGACGGAAATGACCGGACTGCGGCTGACGAGACAAACAGGTACTTAAATACAAGGACTGGCAAGGGATAACAATCAACAGGCGTGGCTCATCAGGGCCACGTTAGGGAGGAAACACGAGGGTTTCGCGGACATGACGGGCATGACGTAAGCGTTTGGCTTATAGTAAGGCTGGCTATGTGAAGACATGAGCGTGGTATTTTTATAGAAGTCTTTGTCATGGCAACCCCTTTCGACATTATTTAAATATCATTATTGTGGTGAAATACTCGTGATTTGCACAGCATGCATTATAATGATTAGGTCTTGATATTTTTCAAGCACGCTGAGCACACTGGTTGAAGTAGGCAGAACAAAGCCATGGAATTCATTACACATCCTCTTCTGGCAGTGGGCTGTGGGTTTTGCTTTGCAGAATGACCCTTAATCTATCCCCTTTTGCATTATTTGTTGTTCTGGTTTTGTTGCT